TAATTGTCGTGTAAACTGGTAAATTATATGAGAAATAATAACTACTTTAAAGTTGCCTGGATTTCATAGCTCCAGATTTTCAGCTCGCAAGATGGGTGACGCGAAACTTTGCTAATTTTATGGAAACCGAAGTCTCCCGATGATCTTTCTATAGACGGTAAACTCCTGAATTAAATTTTTAATAACTCATCGCCTAGGACTAAAGACACCTGCCATAAGTTACTGAAGACCAAAATTTAAAAGAAAAATGAATAAATGTCGGTTTAATCCCAACATGTTCAAGAATTCCTAGCTATCTAAACAATATACCTCCCATTCTATCAGTTTATCGACGTAAGTAAACACGAAAACGTTTATAAATCCCGAACCGGAGACAAGCGATTTACAAAATTTTCGAGTGTCCTCGCTTCATCTCGCGTCGGCTATTGCGCTGGTAAACTGATAGAAGGTGTGGTATATTGCTTTTAGGAAATAGACTTTAAGAAAATACAAGTTCACTAATCAGGGCGCACGTTAGTATCACTGAGTTATCTCATTAAGAATCGAAACCTATATGCACAAGGTCACAACCACGAGGTTTTATCTTAACCGGAAATAAAAAGCGCCTGAGAGGGCAAAATTTCCCTAAGGCCTGGAGAAATATTCCCCTAAAGCCTGGTATTTTCCCAAACCTATACCACTGATTTTAATGAGCTCTTTCTTCGGGAAAATATTGCTGACATATCGACATAAATTGAGTAAGGTATAAAGCACTTACATTTAACGAGACCGACATCAAGCTGAGAGCTTCGGAACTTCAGAGGGAAGTCGCATCCGTCAAACATCAATTTCTTTCAGGTAAGTTCGTCCTTTTCTCTGCTGAGCAGTTGAAATTGACAGAACGAGAAAACTTTAATAATTAATCAACTGAAAAGCAATTCTACGCCGAAACCACTGCAAATCAGATGAGTAATATGTAATTCGTTAAGGGGGAAAAATTACTTTGATTAAGTAAATCAATATTTAAGAAAACCTGATAGTGAACGTTAAAATGTTCAGCACACCGTGCGATCGTTATTAGGAATCCCAAAATACCACCAAACAAAGGCGGGTGAAAGAATTACCATTTTCAATGCTTTCCTCAAATGCAAGTGGAGGAACCGTAAGGGACTAACATTTAGTGGCATAGCATTACTCTGTTTCGCAACTATGATAACTCACCAGTGATCAACTCGACGACATCGTCAAATTTAACAGCGATGAGAGACCATAATCAAATCAATTATTCGATGCGTGTCAGGAGATTGTAAGACATTTATAACAGATKATGCGTGTTCGACACCACAGATTTGAGTTTTTGAGCTCGCAGCAAACGATAAAAAAAATTCTGGTTGTCTTAGTCCCAGCGCTGCTAAATTCTTGGCATGCATGCATGTTCTTCATCTGTTAACACGTTCTCTTAAAAAGCAGGAACACTTCAAAATCATCAAACCTGATCATGTGGTATTGTTTTTAGACTAGTTCTTGAATATTCTTTTAATTCTTCCTGAAACATGTGTTTTATGTTGCAGTAATTTATACATTTT